TTTAGGGTTTAGGGTTTAGGGTTTAGGGTTTAGGGTTTAGGGTTTGCACTTGAGCCAAGTCCTCATTTCTTTGACAACTTCTTCAGTGGACTTAATAACTTCCTTCACAACTGCAGTGCCCGCACCGCTCTAAGGCCCAAACCTCGGCCTAGGTTTTAGGGTTTAGGGTTTAGGGTTTAGGGTTTAGGGTTTAGGGTTTGCACTTGAGCCAAGTCCTCATTTCTTTGACAACTTCTTCAGTGGACTTAATAACTTCCTTCACAACTTCTGTTCCTGCATAATGCAGCTCGGGGCCGTTGACGGCGGAAGTGGGAAAAGACTGCAGAGTTGGATCTCTTCGGGTTTTGTCTGAATTCATTAATAAATAAATAAATAAATAAATAAATAAATAAATAAATAAATAAATAAATAAATAAATAAATAAATAAATAAATTAATTAATTAAATTAAAATGAAGGAGTTTAGAATGCGCCTGAAACAAGCGCGAAAAACCCGATCCAGAGGTGTACAGACACCCCGAAAAGCCCACACATAGACACGCCGTAAACCCTAAACCCTAAACCCTAAACCCTAAACCCTAAACCCTGAACCCTAAACCCTGAACCCTAAACCCTAGTCCCGGGCCCAAGCCCTCGTCCCTTCCCCCTCAGCCCCTAATCCTCTCAGGCCCTAGGGTTTAGGGCGGAGCTGTAGGCTTGTGAAGCTGCCCCAACTCCAAACCCTAAACCCTAAACCCTAAACCCTCGGTCGATGCTGCTGGCTGCTGGCACACACTGGCTGCGCTTTCTCTCCCCTGAGTCGGACTGAGCAGGCGTAAACCCTAAACCCTAAACCCTAAACCCTAAACCCTAGGGTTAATTGAAAAGAGGGGAAAAGAAAAGGAGAAAATAACTCCAAGAGCTCACCTTTATCGGGCGCCGCCGCCGCCCACTCCGATTGGGGTTGCATTTTAGGGTTTAGAGGGGGAAAAGGGTTTAAAGGGAGTTTGAAATCAAGAAAATGAAACGGAACAGTTGAAGAAACTTAAAACCAATTTAATTCTTGCTGCTGCTGCTGCTGCTGCTGCTGCTGCTGCTGCTGCTGCCAGCCACACAGCAGCAGCAGCAGCTTGCTGCTGCGGCTGCTGCCGGCTGCAAACCGGACCGCTGCGTCGCCCGGGCCTCCCCGCGGCTCATTTTCTCGCGTTTTTCCCAATTTAACCAAATAAATGCATTTCTTTTCGATTTTAATTGCATTTTAACTCTTTAAACGCGAAAAAACGGAGCATTTAGGCCTCAGTTGGGGGCGGGCATCGGCAGCAGCGGTCCGCCGCCGCCCGCGCGGCTCGAAGCAGCAGCGGAGCACCCCGCGGGTCCTCTGCTGCTTTTTGGAGCTTTTTAAAAACTACTTCCTTCGAATTTCTCGAAATAAATTCTTTTGAATTCAAATAATTCAATTCCAACGAGATTTCAGCCGAACCGCGCCCCCCGGTGTACGTACACCCCACGGGTGTACGTACACCCGACCGCGCCGCGGCGCCGTCGAGTCTTTTTGCGATTTCGCCAACTCGCGGATTCCGAATTCAATTTCGGCGATTTTGGGGCTAAAAAAGCCGTTTTTGAGTCTAAAAAGCCGCTAAATAAACGCCAAATAACAAATAATGGAACTATTTTCGCTAATTTCGCCATTTTGGGAATTTTCGCGAAGAAATTCCACTCAGAAATGAAAAAAGCCCCCAACTTATTTCGCGCCAAAATGAGTCAGCAGACCGCTTTCAGCCGCGTTCGGAACTTTTCTAAAAAATAAAATAAAACAAATAAATAATTTAATAAAATAAATAAATAAATGAAATAAATAAATAAATAAAAAGAAATAAGTGGAATAAAACTAAACAGTGAGACGAAACAGCAAAAGAGTAATAGTTCGAAAGTTCAAAATTGCAGACTGCGCGGGAGTGGAAAAGAAGGGAAAAGAATTAAAAGAAAAAATGAAAATAAAAAATAGAAATTAAATTAAATAACTAAATGGAGAAAATAAAATAAATAAATGAATAAAGAAGGGAAAGTAAACAGAGAAAGAAAGAAAATAAATATTTAAATTCGCTAAAACAAAAAAGAAAAGTCGCAGCTGCAGCGGCACTCTTAAATTGCTCTTTGGAATTGAATTAAAATAAGTAAATAAATACAAAATAAAAAATAAATTCTGAATTTTCCAATTAAAATAAATAATTTGTTTTTGTTCTTGAAATAATTATCTTTTGTTCAAATGGTATCTGTCTATTTACTCAAATTGTTTGCCCTGGCACTTAATTATTTATTATAAATAAATAAATTAATAATGAATAAAAAATAAAAAATAAAGGATAAACAGAGAAAGATGAAAAGCAACTGTAAAGAAAGTAAATAAAAAGAACTAGCAATTGTTATAGCAATAATAGTAAGAATGGAAATGATAAATGGTGAGAACAATAATAAATAATAAATAAATTAATAATAATAATAATAATAATAATAATAATAATAATAATAATAATAGTAATAATAATAATAATAATAAATAAGTAGCAACAAATAAATATCTGTGTCGATTTTGAAGTTTTGTGTTTTGTTTGGAAAAGCAAAGAAAAGCAATAAATCCATTTTCTGGATTTTGTTTTTGCAAAATGGCAAAAAGCAAATAATAAATGCACTTTAGATCTTTTCATTTAATTGAAAATAATAAAAACTTTAAAATAACAAAAACGAATTTCTCGTTTGTTGCTTTGTGGTGTATGTACACCTGCGCATACAGATAAATCAATTTTCTTTTTCCATTTTACCTTTTAACTTCTCAAAATAAAAAACATTTTATTTCTTTTTAACTACTTTGAAATAAATGCTTTAATGATTTGTCTCAGTTTACATTTATATCATTAAATGCGAAAAAAAAGATATTTTTCCAATTTTATTGTAATATATATCTATACAAAAAATATATATAACTTTATATATAAAATGTATATATAATATAAGACAAAAAATTAAATATATTTTCTATTTCATCAAACTACATTTCATCTATTTAATTGTTCAAATACAAAAAAAGAAATGTTATAAATAAATAATATAAATATAAATATATATATTTAAATATATAAATATACAAATACATATTTTTATTGGTAATATATTAAAAGCTGAAAGAGTCAAAAACAAAAGACATTCACAAAAATGAAATGTAAAAGAAAACAAAAAAGCAAAAAGACATAAAATGAAAATAAAAGAAATGCAAAATGCAGATTTTTGTCCCGAAAAGATTTTCCAAATTAAATGATTAAAATTTAAAAAATTTTAATCATTTAATTTACTTCATTTTGTTTTATTTTAATATACTTCATTTTCATTTAATTTCTTTTCTTTTTAAATTCTTTAGAATGTGTTTTGCTAAAAACTTCAAAAGGGAGAAAAAAGAAACAGCTAAATAAAAAACCAACAACAGCCGCAGCTCCTGCAGCCACTAACCCTAAACCCTAAACCCTAAACCCTAAACCCTAAACCCTAAACCCTAGGGGCGAGTTACTCAGGATACAGCGGAAACCGGAGGGGGCAGCCTGAAAAATTCAACAAATAAAAAACAATTATAAATAAATAAATAAATAAATAAATAAATAAATAAATAAATAAATAGATAATATGAATAAAATAAATAAATAAATAAAACAAAAAATGGAGAGAGAAAAAACCATTAGAGGGAAGGCAAAAGATATAAAGTTCGTTCAAAATTACAATAGATAATGAAATTAATTAAATAACTAAAACAAATAAATTACATAAATTAAATAAATTTAATAATAAATATTAAACAATTAAATGATTAAATGAATTAACACGAATAATGAAACAATAAAGTAAATAAACTAAAAATAAAGAAAAAAGTAATTGTTATAGGAACTAGGAAAGTTAATAGGCAATTGAGTATCAATTAGTGGATAAATAAATAAATAAACGTTAAATAATAAATAAATAAATAAATAAATAATAAATAAATAATAAATAAATAAATAAATGATTTAAATGGCTAATAATAAATGGTAAAGAGAAAAGAATAACAAAATATACAATTGGAATAATAAAGAAATAATGAAAAAGAAAGTTGTTCTAATAATGCCACAAAATGAAGAAATCAATTAATTGAAAATCAAAAAAATAAAAAAATAAAAATAAAAACAAAAAAGAATACAAAGAAATTGTTGAGTCTAAAACAAATTAATAAGAATGGTAATTGGTAATGAATAAATGCATAAGGAAACAATAAACATTTAATAAATGAATAATCAATTTAATAATAAAGAAATAAAAATAAATAAATAAACAAATAAATAAATAAATAGTTATAAATGAAAATAATAAAGAAATGCAACAAAGGTTCCCGGAAAAGACACAAAAAGAAATAAAAGAAATTAAAAGAAGTAAGACAAATAAAAGAAATAAAAAGAGATTAAAGGGAATTAAAAAAAGAAATAAAAGCGAATTAAGAGAATCAAGAGATAAAATAATTAAAAAGCGACAAATGAAATGAAATGGCAGAAAAGAAATAAAAAAGATAAAATAAATTTAAAAATAAAATAAATAATGAAAATAAACAATTAAAAAGAGACAAAAGAAACGAACGCAGAAAAGCGAATAAAGAGAAAAAAATAAATAAAAAACAAAAGAGAAATAAAAGACAAATAAAAGAAATAAAAGAGAAATAAAAGACAATAAAAGATAAATAAATGATAAATAAAAGAGATATAAATGATAAATAAAAGACAAATAAAAGACAATAAAAGAAAAATAAATGATAAATAAAAGAGATATAAAAGACAATAAAAGATAAATAAATGATAAATAAAAGAGATATAAATGATAAATAAAAGACAAATAAAAGACAAATAAAAGAAAAATAAATGATAAATAAAAGAGATATAAATGATAAATAAAAGACAAATAAAAGGGGAAAAGAAACAACAAAAGGAGACAAAAAGGGCCGTAAGGAGATTTAAAAAATCCAAAAAGCCAAAAAAGAGACAAAAGAGACAAAGGGAATAAAAAGGAGACAAAAAAGCAAAAAGAGAAAAAAAAATAAAAAAAGAAAAAAAAATAAAAAAAAAGAAGAACGAACCTTGAGGGGCAATTGGGGGTCTCCTTGTCTCCCTCGGCTAAGGGCCTGGTGCTCTAAAGAGCAAAAAAAAACACAATTAGTTTTTAATTATTTTTTTAGGGTTTAAAACGAGGGTTTGGGGACGTTGCTGCAGCAGCAGCAGCAGCAGCAGCTGCAGCAGCAGCAGCAGCTGCAGCGGCAGCAGCGGCAGCAGCAGCAGTCCCCGCTCCGAGCGCGGCGAAGCGCGGGAGGGCTGCAGCAGCAGCAGCTGCAGCAGCAGCAGCAGCTGCAGCAGCAGCAGCAGCAGCAAAGGAGGCACTTGCTGCCGCTGCTGCTGCTGCTGCTGCTGCTCCTAGGAGGAGGAGGAGCAGCAGCAGCAGCAGGCTCCGTTGCACTTACGTTGGCAGCGACAAGGCAGCAGCAGCTGTGCGTTCCCGCGGAAAGCGCAAACCCTAAACCCTAAAAAAGGGTTTGGCCGCGGCCCGTAAACCCCGATTTAGGGTTTGGAAAGGCTAGGGCTGCAGGTGCGGAGGCGCGGCGCGGCCCCAAACCCTAAATCAGCGGTTCGGGCTGCAGCAGCAGCACAGCAGCAGCAGCAGCAGCCTGTGCACACAGCAATAGCAGCGGGACAAATAACAAATGGGAAGTGCAGCAGCAGCAGCAGCAGCAGCAGCAGCAGCAGCAGCAGCAGCGCAACTGTCTCCGCTTCTCTCTTTGCTGTCTCCTCACAACGGGCCAAGCTGCTTCTCCCTAAACTTCTGCTGCTGCTGCTGCTGCTCTTGCTGCTGCTGCTCTTGCTGCTGCTTTGCAGCAGCAGCAGCTGCAGCTGCTGCTGCTGCTGCTGCTGCTGCTGCTGCTGCTGCTGCTAGGGCCTGGCAGCAGGGTCTGCGAAGTGAATGGTCTCCTTGACGAAGGGGTGCTGCAGCGCCTCGTCGGGAGTGAGTCTCTTTTGGGGGTCCAAAATTAAACACTTTTCAATCAAGTCTCCAAACTGCTTCATCTTCTTCCGCAGGAAGTTCGCCTTCGGGCTGTTCCCTGCAGCAGCAGCAGCAGCAGCAGCAGCAGCAGCAGATGTGCATGTAGATCCTGCTGCGCTGCTGCTGCTGGTCGTGCTGCTGCTGCGGCAGCAGCAGCAGCACAACCAGCAGCAGCAGCGCAGCGCAACCAGCACCAGCAGCAGCACCCCCTCCCCCACCCCCAGCAGCAGGTGTAGATCCCGCTGCTGCTGCTGCGTCTGCTGCTGCTGCACGACGA